AAACCAAAATACTCGGAGGACTCTTCTGACAAAATAAAAAATATGTAATTGTCAGCAAAGTTGTTTCCTTTTTTTCTTCACTTTGAAATTTTGATTGATATGTTCCACTGCTAACTAATTTGCATTTGTATATAGTGGCCTTGTTATTACATAGACTAACTATTATTAACTTGATATGACTCCCCAGAGATGATCAACTTGAAGCAATCTCAACAAGGCTTCCAGTTGATAAGGCTGACCTGAAAAGGTTATTCCCCAAGTAAGGCTCCTTGCACTTTTTTCATCATCAACATTCAAATACTTGCTGTTGATCAGATGAACTTCGTGAATTGGAATGAAATTATCTTGCTTTTTAAAGCTGTTGCAGAAACACTCTGTGCCCCCGTGCTAACAGCGTTCTTGGTTATTTCAGATCATGGTGTGATCGATATGGTGATATCGTGATAGATGTGGTCAGAAAAGAATTCAAGCAACATGTTGGAGAGATGGGAAATTCCCGAGTACTAGCCAAGGAGAAGCAAAACTCGAAAAGATGGACCACATTTGATGATGACGATGAAAATTGTCATCCAAATCTCTTTGCTTCTAAAGAGCAAGCAACTTTCTCATCTTCAAAGATGGTTCGTGCATCTATTAATAATACTAGCAGTAGTATTGACAAGGGCTTTAAGTATAACCCTTTCTTCGATGTTTAACATAGTCATAGAAAACAAGCTGAGACACCTGTATCAGCTTCCTTCTAGGGTCTCCCAGCCTTTTCTCGTTTCAGTTCAAATTGTATTTTTGAGCCTTTTCTCCCATAATATTTATTGCATGCGAAGAAGTACCGTGCACTAACAAAGATTACACCACCTTATCTACACAATTAGATTGAATCCTGCTATGTTTTACAGAACTGGTATTAGATGAACATGTATCTAATGTACAACGATTCAAAGCCACATCGCCATATCTACACCTCTATATACAAAATATGAAGATATTAAAGAAAAGGGTTTTAGGGGCTCGAAACACAGCCCTCCATGAAAATAATGAACTAATTATAAGACAAAAGACACGATTTGAGTAAGCATTTGTTACCAAGAATTTAGTGTCTTTGGAAAAAAAAA